TGGCTTTCTTTTTCCCTGTCTCTTATAAACATCTAGATGTGTATAAGAGACAGGCGTATTGACATGGGAATGGGAGAGAAATGGGGAACATATTACATCGACCGTAGATATAATGCGATAACCATTGGCGGCCCCAGGAGGGCCGATGGCTTAGCATTCTTTTGAAAACACTGCTTTGAAAACTTATTTTGTTAAGTCTGAAAGTGTCATTTCAAGAAATCTAGAGAGGCTCACATGAACCCGGCCACTTTAGAGTGTACATTTTTGTGATAGGAAAATTTATAGTAGCAGGTTAGGATGACGATTATATTCAAAATTACGTTTGAGAGTGCCATTTCCGACCATCTAGAGGTGTCATAGTAAATCATATTTCTTACCAAATACTATGGTGAGAGAATAGAGAAAATAGACCATCCCTGTGATATTATCCCTCTGTAAGTTATTCCCCCAGGTCTTCTATTTCGAATCCCGCTATTTATTTAAAAAAAAAAAAAAAGTGGGTGGGGCTGTCGGCCCGCCGGTGGTCTCATCTAATTGCAATTTTCCCCCAACTCAAAAAGGTTGAATACCAGGGGCCTGTGTGGTGGTAAGGTGTTGCTTTTCACTTTGCGGTAGACATCTTCGATGATGACAAACAGTGCTGAGCAGCGAAGCATAACCAATGGAAATAACATAGCGGTTTGGCAACATTTTCTGAGGTCAAATTTATTTAAAAAATCATAACCTCTTAACGGCGCGTCAACATTATTTTCTTCTTTAAGATGTTGGCAAAGGATTTATCTACGTTCTGTATGAATAGAAAAAAAAAATGAGAATATTTCCAAACATCAAGTAAAAAGTACCAAAAAAAAAAAAAAAAAAAATGTAATTTTCAATTTTTAAGCACACGTCGCTCTTATTGCCTTTAAATGGAAATCCGAAGTCGGAAACACAGTTTTAGGATTGCGGCATAATTCGACGTCGAAAATAATGAATTGACGTCGAAAGCAGGGGAGTTCGACGTCGAATCAAAGTCGAATTCCCTGAATTTGAATCGTCAAATACCTAACTATTGTAACTGTTTGGTTTTCTTGAATCCGCCACTGACACAGTCACACGCAAAAGTAGAAGTATTCAAGTACTGGTCTGGAGACAAATTTAAATATAAATTTAGAAAACTGATATTAAAATATTGATAACGATATTCATATTAAAAAAGTAAAATGAAAAATTTGACAAATATTTAAAATGATAGGCCTACAAATTAAAGTATATGAGCATGCTTTATTCTGAGGATTTAGAAGAGAAAATTCGGAAATGATGTGTTTCTAAAAAAAACTTAGTTACTGATCACAACAGATAGGTCTCAACAATGGTACGAATTTGTTGTTTCTTAATTATTACATATAAACAATCACAGGCGGACCCCCGAACGTAATGATTACGTATTGATTCACTTCATTCATGCATTATTTGCTGAAGTCCAATCTTTAATACAGTTTATTGCAGTTCGCCTAAAAGCTTTACAGATTAAATAACTGCAAATAATTATATGCAGATAAGATTTGGCTTTCTTTTTCCTTCATAAAACTTAATAAGTCTATTTGCCATTTTACTATTTTGTTCCTAATTTTTAAGCGTTAAAATATAATGGTGGTGATCTTTTCATGGAGTGGCTGTACACAAACCATAGAATTAAAGTTGTTTATTAAGCTGTTTGTTCTCACTGATATCGAATTGTACTGGAATTCGACTGATACATATGAACTTTTTTTTTGAGGAAATAAGTTCATTATTTTCCTTGAACACTTTGATAAATATTAACTTGTCGACATTTGAACGGTAAAAATCGGTCAAGTATAACCCGTTTTGCTGTGTGCATAACAATTAATACATTAGTGCTAACAAACGTCCGTTATATAGGCTATACATTATAGTTTTTCATCGCCAACTATAATCCATACAGACGGCAGTTTTAGGCCCTATAGTTTTCATCGTATAAACCATTCGTATTTCATAATGGATTAAATTCAACTGTTTTCGGGTATTTATCGTGTTCATTTTTTTTTATAATAGTGCCTATCAAAAAGCACGTTGGTACTGGCGCCGCTGTTCTTGAAAAATATCAATTTAAAGGCAGTATATCACTGTATTGTATTATAGGGGGATGGGGGTTAAACAGTAAAACTACAAATAATGTACAGACATCATTTGTTTGTTTTTTACTTTTATTCAAATATATTTAACATACACCAAGTAATTTTCAAGCGTTAAGATATACTTGGCGCATAGAGACTGCTGTATTATGCGCCTAATAAATCTATTGATTGATTGGTGGTGTAATTTCAGTACAAGGTCGAGGCTTTTTCGATTTAAAAGCAGTAGGCCTACATTACTGTATTATGGGGATAGGGGTTAAACCATGGTTAAACAGTCAAACTGCAAATAAGGTACAGACAACATTTGTTTGGTTTTCTTTTATTCCAAACATATTTGACATCCACCAAATGTTTTTCAAGCTTTAAGATATACAAGTTCAACAGGTTCCAGTGATCTTTCCTTTAGTGGCTACCCAAACCATAGTATTAAAGTTGTTTATTAGGCTGATTGTTCTCACTGATATCGGATCGTCCTGGAATTCGACTGATACTATGAACTTTTATTTATGGAAATAAGTTCCTCATTTTCTTTGAACACTTTGATAAATATTAACTTGCACATCACGTCGACATTTCAACGGTAAAAATCGGTCAAGTATAACCCGTTTGCTGTGTGTACAACAATTAATACGGTACATTGTCATTAGTGATAACAGACGGCCGTTAGGCTATACATTATAGTTTTTCAGCGTATAACTATAATCCATACAGACGGCAGTTATTTTATATTTTCTCATCGTATTTTGTCATGGATTCAGTTCAACTGTTTTTGGCTATATGTCGTGTCTATTTTTTATAATAGGGCCTATCAAAAAGCACGTTGGTACGGCGCGCCGCTGTTCTTGAAAAATATCAATTTAAAAGCTGTACCGTATATTACTGTTCTGTATTATAGGGGATGGAGGGTTAAACCATGGCTAAACAGTCAAATTGCAAATAAGCAATAATAATTTGTTTGGTTTTCTTTTATTCCAAACATATTCAACATCCACCAAGTAATTTTCAAGCGTTAAGATATTCTGGTGTTGCAATTTCACTACGACTGATCTTTTGCTGGAGTGACTACCCAAACCATAGAATTAAAGTTGTTTATTATAGCTGATTGTTCTCACTGATATCCAATTGTACTGGAATTAGACTGATACATATGAACTTTTATTTAGGGAAATAAGTTCCTCATTTTCTTTTACTCATTCACTTTTATAAATATTAACTTGCACATCACGTCGACATTTGAACGGTAAAAATCGGTCAAGACAGTATAACCGATTTGCTGTGTGTACAACAATTAATACAGTGCTTAACAGACGGCCGTTAGGCTATACATAATAGTTTCTCATCGTATAACTAATCCATACAGACGACAGTTATCTTATAGTTTCTCATCGTATAAATCATACGTATTTTAGCATGGATTAAATTCAACTGTTTGTGGCTAATTATTATGTCTACTTATTGTGTCTATTTATTATAACAGGGTCTATCAAAAAGCACGTTGGTACTGGGCGCTGCTGTTCTTGAAAAATATCAATTTAAAGGCAGTATCACTGTACTGTATTATAGGGGATGGGGAGGGGGGTTAAACAGTCAAACTGCAAATAAGGTACAGACAACATTTGTTTGTTTTTCTTTTATTCCAAATATATTTGACATAGGCCTACACCAAGTAATTTTTAAGCGATGTGGTGGTGTAATCTCACTACATGTTCGAGTGATCTTTCCATGGAGTGGCTCACAAACCATAGAATTAAAGATGTTTATTAAGCTGATTGTTCTCATTGATATCGAATTGTACTGGAATTCGACTGATACATACAACTTTTATTTAGGGAAATATGTCCATCATCGGTAAAAACCGGTCAAGTATAAACCCGTTTTTCTGTGTGTACAACAATTAATACAGTGCTAACAGACGGCCGGGCTATACATTATAGGCTATAGTTTCTCATCGTATAATTACCATCCATACAGACGGCAGTTATATCTTATAGTTTCTCATCGTATGAACCATACGTATTTTAGCATTCGGCTATTTATCGTGTCTATTTTTTTAAATTTATAATAGGGCCTATCAAAAAGCACGTTGGTACTGGGCGCCGCTGTTCTTGAAAAATCAATTTAAAAGCAGTATATTACTGTACTGTATTGAATTGGAATTCGACTGATACATATGAACTTTTATTTAGAGTTCTAAGTTCCTCCTAATTTTCTTTGAACGCTTTGATAAAATTATCAAATTATTATTATTCCTGATGATGACATAATTAATGTCGAAATATTGAATCCCAACACGATGGCGTGTATTTCAATACTTGCAGTATGTATTATACTTTCATGTCGACATTTGAACGGTAAAAATCGGTCAGGTATAGGCCTTTTGGGTGCAAAAAAGACGTAAACATGTTTACACTAATCAATACAGTGCTGGCAGACGACTATTATATCTTATAGGTTTTAATTGTGTAGACCATACGTCTTTAAGCATGGCTTTAATTCAACGGTTTTAGGCTATTTATCGTATCAGTTTTTTGTTTTTTAATAATATAAAAATGTAATTGGTGCTGGGCGCCGCGTCCGGACCAAAGCTCTGTTAAAATGTTCGTCATCATACAAAATCTGGTATGAGGATTTGTTTTTTGTTTTTATACACACCGATAAAAACTTGGATATTTTTTCTAGGCTCAAAATGCTCGTCTTTATTCTTGAAAAATTATCATTTTACAGTGTTATTACCGTACTATATTATTAATAAATCATATTCAAATTCAATTTTATCTCAGTCTTCTCCATATAAAACAATTTACTGAAAACACAAAAAAAACAATAAGCATTATAGGAAGGTTAAATACAGTAAACGTTTAAACGTAGGCCTATAACATTTGTATCTGAAAGACGGCTGTTATACCTTGATTTAACTTAATTAATATAGGCCTATATTGGTATCATTTTGAGTCGGTATACTCAGGCGATGAAAATTGTCATAATTGTAATAGGACAGCATATTTGTTAGATAGTCAATTACAACAACCAATTGAAACTGATTATCTACAAGTATTTATTGTCCTGCAAACAAATGCTTGTGCATTGTTTGTACCAGCAACTTATAGTCCACAGTTTATTTAATATACAAAATCAATTCAACTAACAATAAGATGCTTATATAAAAAGCAAGTCAGATGGTAGTCCTACATTCAGTACCAACCTAAATTTTAGCACCGTGTTGAGAAATACTGTATCAAATTTAAGAAATTAAAAAATTTGTTATGGAGGCTCGCGAGGAGGATGATTTCCTGTTTGAAAGCACAGCGTTTGACTGTGGAGATGCTGCATGGGTCGACTTGGTTAGAGACTCTTTGGATGAAAAAGTCTTGTATGATGGATGTACCATCACAGATCTCGATAGTGTGGCCCTTTTAATGGCATTTTATATCGAGAACAAAGCCACAAAGCGTTTGATGGAGGATGTTCTCCATCTCATAAGGAAGCACATGCCAAAATCGGCTGTATTACCAAATCACTTGAAATCAACATACCATTTAAGAAAGCTTTTTCTACATGGTAAGAAAGAAAAGATTCACCAGCACAACATTTGCCATTTTTGCTGCAAACTGCTATCGGAAACAGACGTCGGAGTTTGTGCGACTTGTGAAAAGCCCATCAAGAAAAATCCTCGTTTTTTTGTTACTATTGACATCGCAAGTCAGTTAAATGAATTATACAAAGGTAATCTAAAAATATTTTGGTTTAAATTTAAGTAACTATAAGCCGATTAAAATGATAAATTTATAACGCTATAAATAGACCATTTATATACACAATCTGACTGACGGCATTAATAACATTTTTTTTAAAATTCTTTTATGTAGATCCCAGCTTCAGGAAAAACTTAACTTACAGAGAGACCAGAAAGAAACCCAACAACGATGTCATATCAGACATCTATGACGGATCGTTATACAAAGAAAATTTAGGTCCCGGTGGGTTCTTAAATGATGAATCTAACTTGAGTATGGTATGGCATACGGATGGTGCTCTGGTAAGCAAGAGCTCAAATGTGTCGATCTGGCCGGTGCAGGCTGTAATTAATGAGCTGCCGCCAAGGATGAGGTACTATAAATAAATAGTTTGATTTCTATTGCAATTATTGTTTATTATCGTCATCATTTATAATTATAATTATTATTATTGTTGTTGTTATTGTTATTATTATTATTATTATTATTATGACACATGTTGTTTTTATTGTTGTTTATTATTATTATTATTATTATTATTATTATTATTATTATTATTATTATTATTATTATTACCACCACCGAAGTCAGCTGCTGCATTAACAAAATGTAGTTTATTTAAACTCGCATTTCATGAAAAAACAAAAAACAAAATTAAGTTATGCGAGAAATACAAAATAAATAAATAATGTTACATTCTGCTTACAGGTTTACAAAAGAGCGAACAATTTTATTCGGCTTGTGGTTCGGAAAGGATAAGCCGTTGTTATCAACATTTTTGATGCCGATTATAGATGTGTGGAATGATTTACAAACTAAAGGTAAGGTTTTCTGGAGCGTATGTCCTTTTTAAATAGCAAGAATTATAATTTCAAATTTAAAAAAAAAGAAATTGGATAATTTTTTTTTTTTTTTTTTTTTTTTGTAATAAAGGTGTCGTTGTTAAGTCAGGTTCGACTCGGAAGACCGTGCGGATAAAGATCTTGGCAGGAACCATGGATTTGCCTGCAATGAGCATGGTCAAGGAAATTAAGCAATTCAACAGTTTTTACGGCTGCGGAATTTGCGAGGAAAGAGGTGTTCGGCTAAAAAAGGGGAAAGGAAGTGTCCAGGCATATCCGTACTGCCCGGAACCAGTTTTTGACGATTTATATTGTGTTTGTTTTGTATTAGGTGGTCGGGGTTAAACAACGGACCATGTTATCATTTGTCAAAGGGTTCGACCCAGCAGCTCACGTCATGGTAGATTATCTACATGGGATATGTATTGGTGTGACGAAAGCCCTGGTGAAGTGTTGGATGAATGACACAAAAGAGCCTTACTACATAGGCAACAAAGTTGATGTCATCGATTCCAAGTTAGCTGAAATCAAGCCACCGGACAACCTGACCCGAAACCCCCGTTCATTCGCAGCCGAGTTGCCGAATTTTAAAGGTTTTTTTTTTTTTTTTTTTTTTATCCTGTGTAACTGAATAGCTGAATGAATCACTTCACGAACTTGTGCTAGATTATTAATACCATTAATTTAAACTTTTATTATTATTATTATTATTATTATTATTATTATTATTATGTTAAGTACTTAAAATTTTGTTTAAATTACTCTAAAAGTTACTTAACTCTAATGAGAAGTTATAATTATTTTTATTTATAGCTGCCGGACAGACGGAAAAGGGACTTCCGGGAAGAATTGGGCGTTCAGCTGACAGGCTGAAAAAAGCAACTAGATGTCTACGCTACATTTGCAACCGCATATTCTCAAGGGAGGAATTGGAAACATGTAATATTTCAGGTGTAAATGGGAAAACTGCAGTGGATTCACGACGATTAGAAATGATAGAAGGTAAGTACTGTACTTAAGTGATTAATTTATATTCATGTCAAAAAATACATGTCAATTTTTTTTTTTTAATTTTTAATTCCTTTAAAAAGACATCCATGAATATGTTACAGTGTAAGCTAACGAACTGCAGTCTGTGTCGTTTCTAACACTTCATTAGGCCAAAGATGCCGTCACCAATGGGTTGTTACGATGTTTACCACTCTAAAATCTTATGATAATGGTTTGAGTCGCAATTGATGTTTATTTTCATTGCAAAATTCTGCCGTTTATTAGATTAACAGATTACGATAATTTAGTTTTCAATAACATACTTAAATATATATGAAAATACCCTGCCACCTAGCAAGGCCTAGGCCTATAACCACGATTATTCATTCTGATTGATTGATTGATATTTTTTTTTGTTTTTGTTTAATATTTCAGATTACATGCAGTCGCGATTCAATTTAGACGCAACCACTGTCCGCCGAGAAATCGGAAAGAAATTTCGGGAAGTTCAGTATCTAAAGGCCAAGAAAAACAAATGAGTAGCCCGGAAGTGATTCATCATAAAATCTAGTATAAATTTTTTTAAAAGATATTTTTAAGTGCTGTTTCATCATTATTATTATTATTATTATTATTATTATTATTATTATTATTGTGATTATTATTATTATTATTATTATCTATAGAAGTTTAGTTGCGTGTAATTCATCATAAAATTTAGTATAAATTTTTATTATTATTATTATTTATTTATTATTATTATTATGCCTATTAATTATTATTATCATCTAAGTTTAGATGCGTGTAGTTAATTTAACTTATAAAATTTAGTATAAGTTTTTAAATTTTTAAGTGCTGTTTTATTATTATTATTATTATTATTATTATTATTATTATTACTATTCGTGAATTTATGTAAATAAATCGTCTTTTTATGAAATAGTGTCAATGCGTTTTTTTTTTTTCTCCGAAAAATAAACAATAGTGATACAAAAAAAATAATATTGGTAGACAATTTTCTGACGTCGTATATGCTGTTAATTTTAAAATAGAATACTATACCAATATCATTATTATGTTCACTATTTTTTATTTTTTTCGAAGTTGTCATTGTCAAACGAATCAATTATAGACTATTTTCATGAGAAATTAGTTTCAATTTTACAAAAGATTGTAACATGAGCAACACACGTAAAATGCTTTCGGTGCCCATTCAAATTTGCGCTCACGAAAATAGTCTATGTCATTGTCACAATCACTTTGGAAAACAATACAGTAACCGCGACTTCACTGGGCCTACATTGTATAAGTAATAAGTATTATAAAACTGCAAATTCCAATAATTAGCAGTTTTAAAACGTTGAATTATTGTAAACTGTTATCAGCGGTTGGATTTCGGTCTCCCTTATAGCATGCTTATAGTCACACCATGGAGGAAATAAAATTCCTCCATGGTCACACTAAGGTCGGCGGGCAAGACCATTATTAGTTTAGGGCAGGTAGTAAAAATGCTTAGCCTTAAGTACCATGAATTTAAACTATTCAAGGAAATTCGTATCCAATGCTTGATTATACTATACTGTAATTTATGCTGCGTATAATGTACTCTATTAATAAATTATAAATTTTTACTTTTACTTTGAAGAATGTCACCTAGTTAAGTGGTACCGTCTAATAGTTAGGAGGCGATTCAGCGGTCACTTCGCTGTACAAGTGAGAAATTCGATATTCCTTGTGCAACGGTTTACGCAACTAGGCCAAAACACAATTCAGATTTGCCAAGTCTAGTAAAACTATAAGAATCTCAAACCACAAATATCCAGGGCCTAGCTAAGCCAGGTCAGTAAAGTTCGCTTCGGATGTTTGACCTAAGGTTAACCTGGTCAATATCCTATAATGTTGTTATATCCTATAATGAAATCAGTAACGGCAGTCATGCGCCTACTCTGTGTCGACTGGGTGTAAACTTACCAATTTCCTTTCCAAAACTCAAGCTGTGTTTTCGGCCACGAATCCTCCGTTATAGAGTACCGAAGTGTGACGTCATCAAATTTTCTTTTTTGCATTTCAGAGCTAATTAGGTATTCATGTGGCTATATCTGGGGCCACTGTCGATCGATTCCCACAAATTTGGGTTATGGATGTTTCTCATCATGCTCTACCGATACATCGTGTCCTAAACGCGAAAATGCAAAATTTAAAAATTGTGACGTCATCACTTCGGTACTCTATCGACGTCGAATTCACTGTCTTCGACGTCGAATTCACTGTCTTCGACGTCGAATTCATGTCGCGATTTATGTAATGCATTGTTTGTTCGACGTCGGTTTTCCACTTGCAATGACGGCGAATAAAATAGAATAGCGTATTGTTTCGGTATTTTACATTTATAGGCCTATTAATTACTTCTGCTTTTTTAACTTGAAGGTGATATGTGTCCCTCTTCAGTGTTTGTTCGACGTCGAATTCACTGTCTTCGACGTCGAATTTAAATGTCGTGATTTATGTAGTATTGCATTGTTTGTTTGACGTCGGTTTCCCACTTGCGATGACGGCGAAAGAATAGCGATATTGTTACGCTATTTGACATTTTTTTTTTTTAAATAGACCTACAATATTTCTGCTACTTTTGATTTGAAGGCGACGTGCCGTGTTTGTTCGACGTCGAATTTCATGTTTTCGACGCCAAATCGCTGCGCATTCCATTGTTCGATACGTGGGGCAACTGACGTGTGTGTTATGTTTGCGACCTCGGATTTTCCACGAAACTAACAGTAGTTGGATTAAGTACTGTCCTAGTAGGTTCAATTGTTTCGTATACTGTACATGATGTAATTTTGATAGGTCTAGGTTTTATAGTTAAAATGGAAGTAAACGGAAGAAAAAAAATGCAACCAACTAGGCCTAGGGCCTAGCTTCGGCTGGCGAGGCCTGTCCGCGCCCGGCCCAGCCTGTACCTTGCCTTGGCCTAGCTTAGCTAGCTATGGCGACGACATAGCCAGTTGTATGTAAAGACCTAATTTATTTCAGGTAAAATTTTACTAATACACATTAATAATGAAGAGTAGAAGCCGTCAAACAACGTTTATTTAATGTCACTGTGTACATGGTTCGTTGTTAAACTACAAACGAGCCGACAATCATGATTCGCGTGCCGCTCTTATCTTGTGTGAAGATAAGCTCCATAGCAACGTTTATTGGGGAAATTCCCTAATCTTAAAATCCGACGTCGATACGAGGTCGAACGCGGTCGTTTACGTCGAATTTTTATCCACCGGGTATAGAACCGTGTATCGCTGTCAAAGGCCATTATCGCGACCATTAATCATGTTTTAATGACTCTACCATCTGGCGGTCAACATAAATTTCAATTCAACATGCGCGAAAACCATAGACCTGTCCAGTTTTACAAAAACAAATGCATTCGCTGACCTGTTGTTAATGTTATAGCATCATCATCTTCATCATTTCATCATGTCTGTGTGGACCGAACCTATGATACGTTACCTTCTCTCATTGAGGAGGGGGGGAGAGACAGAATACAAAGACAACTGGATAAACTGAAGTATTTGCGCAGGGAGTACAGTACAAGTGCGTGAAGCGTGGTTAGAAACGTAAATATTGCGTGGCATGATGGGATATACTATTGCCTCGCTGACCTCAAACGAGTATTTCCGAGGTAAATTTTTACACGGTTAGACAAGATAAGTTTGTGCTCGAATGCGGGGACCCCCCGTGGTGTAAAGCCGTGCGTTTACCTGTCATATACACAGAATTTAATAGGCGTGTATGGCTCGAACGCACCAATAGAGTCTAAATTTAATGTTTTATATGTCGGTGTATGCTTTGCCCCTTTGTTAATGAAGGAGTTACTTTTTACTTTGGCTCGATTCCAATCTGACGCAGGAGAAAATGCTAACTACGACCGCTTTTTTTACCAGCATACAACTATAAGTAATGGACATGCAGATGATGACCCCTTATTCACACTTTTATTCAATATGTATAAACAAATACATTATAACATATTCAATACTAACAACACCGATGAAGATAAGGCAAGTGCTACAGCATTTTTAAAGTACAAAGAAAAGCACATTGCAGCATCAAAATGTATTTGTTGGTGGCATAATTAAGGAGTCTACTAACAAAAATAGCACCAATCCTATATCAGTCGATAAAGGGAATGAATCTATATTTGTAAATCATTTATTTGTTTTAAGTGAAGTAGTTTCAAAGATGTAGAGGAAATCATACTCCCACAAAGAGCTACAAAATTTATTAAAAGAACATGGTGGAAAACTATCAAAAACATTGCCTGAAAAAATACAATCTTCCAAACGCTATATTGTGTTAGCCAATAAAACCATACAAGAGACTATTCGACCAGTAATGACAAGTGACTGTCTCATTAAATATTATACATTTTTGATTGTGTAAAGCAAAATAAAAAGTAAGATTTTTTTTACTAGTTTACTTTAAACTTGTCAGTCGACAAGCAAATTTAATTGAGTGGAGTATCCACATTTACATCGAACACCTGTCAAGCTCGTTTCGTATTCCTAGCTAGGCTATCTTCAACTTGTCTCCAATCTTCACTTAATCATGTAAGTGGCTGTTTATTAAGAAACTGTTAACGCCTATTTATTTACTGTACAAACTGTTAATACAACACTTTGCGTTGAATTCTTAATAAACAATTTCTAACGGTGAACATTTTCAACGCCAACGCGCTCTCAACGAAAACGCAACGGGTCGAATGTGTTTAAAATTTGGGATAATTCTGGCCAGTACTGTACGTGTTTAACAGAACCTGCAAATTTCATGCATCAAATGCACAGACGCATGCCAATGACTTACACAAAATAATAACTGAATTTGGTGAGAAGAATAATGAAACTGCAAGTTGTGCTGTCAGACGGTGGTCCTGACTGGACCACTAAGTCCACAAAAACTTTAATTTCACATGGCCGGCTGTGGAGAGATCAAAATTTGGATTATTATGCGTTAGTTAACCACGCAGCCGGCCATTCAGCTGAAAACCCAGTAAAACAATTATGGGCTCCACTGTCTAAGAAGCTAGTGTCGGTAACACTACATATAACTTTACTGGGAGAAGACACCCCACCAAGTGAACAAAATTTGTCGGACATTGAAAAGGAGGAAAAAAACGTTGCAGTTTTTAACAGCGCAATCGATATATTGAACTCATATTGGAATATCAAACATGATGGGTATAATGTGAACCCAGTGAAGGTGTCTGCAAAAGAAGCACACACACCATACAAAGATGTAAAGTGATATTGACAAGTTTACAAGTCTGGGATAGGAAAAATCATATAAACTGAAAACCTGAACAAAATAAGAAACGAATATGTTCTTTTTGAAACATGGTGTTAGACGGACTAACTTAAGTGGGAATAGACAACTCTCCGCAAAAAAACAAATTCATGAACCATTTAAATCGAGTTTAAAAAAAAGTTGGGCCTATGAAGAAGCTAATGATAGGTAGGCAGACATGCATTATATTTGCTCATTTTTCTTCTTTTTTTTTTTATTCAAGTCATAAAGGTTTTAAATTTAAAATTAACTAGTCAAAAAAATCAGGAGGGAGGTCACGAAGTGACGCTGAACAACTAAATTATATACATATATATGAAATGATTGGTTAATAAATTTACATTATATGAAGTTTCATGGCAATCTGATTCCTCTAAATACATAATTTAACATTTTGTTGATAATATCCAAGAAATGATGCTGCTAACTCTCTGAAAACCCATCTTAGAGATCGGAAAATCGGAGGAATTTTACATGCTTGTATCTTCCATTGTAAATGGATTTTGACCTAG